TCATGATCTGACTTAGGTTTTAGTTTCAACAGGAACATTCTGGCTGCTGTGTGGAAAATAGATTGTGAAGAGGAAAGGTCTAAGCAGGGAGACTCAATAGGAGGTTCTTGCATTAGTACAGGTGAAAGGTGGTGGTGGCTTAGACCAGAGTAGTAGTAGTGACTGGGGGGAGATGTGAATTGACTGGATTCTAGATATATTTTGAAGTTAAAAACATTAGGATTTGCTTACAGATTGAATAGGGAGCATGGGAAAAGAAGAGAATGACTCCACAGTTGGCTGGCTGGAGTTGCCTTTAACAGAGATGGGGAAGATCAAGGGAGTGGAAAGGGTTAGGGAGATGGCAAAGATTAGGAGTCTAGTGTTGGGCTTGTTAAGTTTGAGATGTCCGTTAGACATTTGATGGAGATATTGAATAGGCAGTCTGATATCTGGGTCTGGAGTTCAGTGGGGAGGTCCAGTGGAGAGAGTCAGCATTGGATAGATATTACTTAAACCTTAAGACTGGGTGGGATCCCAAGGGAGCAAGTGCAAATAGAGTAAAGAAGGGGTCCAAGTCTCAGTTTGACATCACAATTTTAATAGGTTCAAAGAGATAGGGAGGAGCCAAGAAAGGAGTCTGAGAAGGGACCAGTGAGGCCAGAAGAACACCAGGAGAGTGATTCCTTTTAAAACTTAAATTAGATCATGTCATTCTTCTGTTTAAAGCACTTCATAGCTGGATATTGTGGTGTACACCTGTAGTCTCAGCTACTTGGGAGGCTGAGGCAGGAGGAACGCTCAAACCCTAGGTATGAGGCTATGGTGAGTTGTGATGAGGCCACTGTACTCCAGCCTTGGTGACAGAGTGAGGACCCTCTCTCTAAAGAAAAAATAAAATAAATAAAATAAAATAAAGCACTTCAATGTCTCCCCCAATTCACTCAAATAAAAAGCCAAAGACCCTATGGTGGCCTACAAGGCTATAGGATCTAGCCACTGATACCTCTATGGCCCCTGCCCGTCCCCTTTCACATTCTGCTACTGCCACATCAGCCTCCTCACTCTTGCTCAGACTTGCCATGCCCTCTTCTGCCTCAGGGCCTTTGAACTTGAATTTCCTATGCCTGGAATGCTCTTACTCCGATATCCACATGGCTAATTCCTTCGCCCTCCTTCAAGTCTTGGCTTAAACATCACTTTTTTCAAAGTGGCCCACACTCGTTACTCTAATACTGCAACTTCCTTCCCCTCCCCCTCCTGCCACTCCTCATCCCCCTTAGGTGCTCTGCTTTTTTCTGTAGCATCTGTCACCCTCTTTCACTCTGTATCCTTTAGGTCTTTATTGTGTCTGCTGTTTATTGTCTGTCTCCCTCTACTAGAAGGTAGGTTCTATAAGGTCAGAGATCTTTATTTTGTTTACCTCTGTATCTCATGAACCTGTTCAGTACCTAGTTCAGTACCTAGTACTGAATGAACCAGTTTAGTGCCTAGTACAGTACCTGTTCTGTACCTAGCACAGAGGGAGAACTCAATCAGTATTTTTTGAATTAATGTAGGATGCAGGATCTCAGTTCCACCCTTGTAGTCTCCATGACTATTTTAGGAAGTCCCTAGATGGGTGGATATCTCCTGGGTGTTCAAGAACACCTCTTACTCCAGCTTACTGGCTAGTGTGCCTCAAGACTGACCCAGATGCCCTCAGGTTTCTCGCTGGGCAGGGAGGTCTTCTGCCAGAGGCCACACTATAGTCCATGGTGGACACTAGAAAGGGGGTGGCTCTCCCACCCACTCTGTGTGGCACCTTGACATTTGGGCCCTAAAGCTGTTCTAGCTGAGTCTCCTGATGGACCTTAAACCAGACCATCAGGCCAGGTAGGGTGCCCCATTCATCACGTCACCACTTCCACTCTCTCAGAATCCTTTATCTAAACTTCTGAGACCACTGCACCAACCTCCCTTCACTTTCAGCCTCAAAAAACAAAATGCCCTCTTGCCCTCTGCATATCAACTCATAGATACAGGGCCCAAGGATAGTCAACTCAGAAACAGCCAGACTCACATCCTAGCTGACTCAGCAGGGACATTCTGATGTATTTGGTTAAGAATTATTGAAAACAGTTTTCCAGCCTCTGCTTTAGGAAACTAGTTATCACAAACCTCCATGGGGCTCCACCTATCCATTGTCACGATTGCACAGAAAAGCGGACTGTGAGTATACAAGCCCATTTAGAGTTTGCTCTATGTGTGCACACACGTGGTTTTTGACACTTTCTGGAACATACTGCTTCTAGTGCTTTAATCCCATTTGGTAAAGCTTTCTCTTTTCTCCCAAAAGGACTTCAGAAGCTATTATCCAGCTTTGCGTAGTGGCAGTATCATAGCCAATGAGGTTTATCCAAGGCACAATTATTGCTAATTGAAAATTGTTCTTGATACCCCGCATAATGACTTGCAATATAGTCAGCATTGGCAATTTTTGATGGTCCCTATGGGGACTAAGTTAAAAAAAAAAAAAAATGAAAGAAGCTGTTATTCAGTGGCCTCAGAGGCTACTCTGCCTGGAAAAGCCTTGTGAGAATTGGGAATTAGGAATTAGATCAGAGAAGATAGGGCTTTCTTCCTGCTGTCTTGCTGTAGGACTCCTTATTGTGCATTGAGGGGACCCAGGGGAGCGTAAACAGAATGAAGGGCTGGGCAAAACAATGGTTTGAAATGCTGACTTTTCTCATGTGATTTGAGTTTTGTGCCTAAGAAACGTTTTATATGTGGAGCCCCTGTCGTACAGTACAGCTCTCAGTTCTAGCTAACCAAACCCCAGGAAAGGGAAAACATAATTTTACACTTAAGCAAAGGACATGATAAAGAAAGAAAGAAATAATTGATTATCTTAGTCTGCATTCATCCTAGCCCTTACAGAAAGAGGGAGGGAACAGTTTGTAGGGAAGACTTGAGATTAGT